GACAAATCAGACATTTCCTTTACAGTTTTGAAGAACAAATATCAAATGCAATAGAGGTAAAGTTGGTTTTATATTCGCACATTCGTTCATTTAGGAGTCTCTATATTGTTTACCATGTTACTTTGAATATTCGATCTGAATTAGCATGCGAGTATGACTTCTAAACAACAGTAACACTATCTAATTCACTGTGAACAATGTTGTACTTTGATAGTCATTTGCTGCTAATATGATTTCCCTATTTACAATTTGCAAAGAATATTTTTCTGAAATTATATTACTAAGGAGAAAGTCTGAATATCCGAATATAAAACCAACTTTACCTCAACTTTACCTCAACTTTTCAAATACACGCCATATAGTAAAAGATGCAAGCAAGCTGCATTTTCTCACAACGCAAATATTTGAAAATGTTTCAAGGGGACCCTAAAACATGACGGACCAAGCTATTTAGGTTATGGTTATTTAGGCTAATAAATACTAAAGACACGGGAATCGGGATATGAAAAAAAATCTTTCAAAGATTACCTAAAACTTCACTGAGCATTATCGCGGACAATACTCACGGCACAGCGGCGTCCGTCACATTTTTGGGTCCACTTGAAACATTTCTGTTGTGTTGTGAGAAAATGCAGTGCGTTTCCCAAATTGTTTGAGTTGTGAGAGTGTAGCACGTTTTTTTAAAAATGTGTTTGCGTTGTGAGGATTTGCAGCGTGTGTGCAGTCAAACAGATGAAGATCGTTTCTCAATTTGCTGTTGTTTTTTTGTAATTGCATGAGTTTTCTTAAATTGCAGCATGTTAAGCTCTCTCGGCCACTGTATGTAAGGGTTAAAATCAGATTTTTGTTTCTTATTAAAATCAGGGTTATTTCAGCAAATATTGATTTTTACTGTTTAAAAACTAATATAAACATGTCTAAAACACAGCAGTTTTTATAACATAATTTTGATCTTATTTCATGCAAACAAAGCTATTTCTTGGTAACATTTTTATTTTAATTATAGAAGAAATGTCTAAGAATAATACAAAAATCACATCTTATTCAAACATAAAATATGTGCTGCCAAAGTATACAAAACTTCATGAAAGATTTTTAGGTTCACTAAGTGTCATTTTAGCAGACGTCTTCTGTAAATCATGGCAAAAATGTGTGAAAGTTTGTGTTTTTGCTCTGAGGAAAGAAAAAAAAGAAACTGGACTCATTCTTCAGTATGGAAGTAGAGAATTACAGTTAGTTATTAGACGCTCTGTAGTTATGAAATGACTTAATAACTATAATGATTTGACATTCCAATTTTTAAATACTGAAACTGTATGATAATATATTTAAAAATATATATATGTTGGCGTCATGGTGGCGCAGTGGGTAGCATGATCCCCCCACAGCAAGGGTTTGAGCCCCAGCTGGGTCAGTTGGGATTTCTGTGTAAGTTTGCATGTTTTCCCCGTGTTAGGTCAGGTTTCCTCCGGGTGCTCTGGTTTCCCACACAGTCCAAACACATGCGCTATAGGTGAATCGAATAAGCTAAATTGGCCATAGTGTATGTGTATAAATGCAAGAGTGTGTGGGTGTTTCCTAGTGTTGGGTTGCAGCTGAAAGGGCATCTGCTGCGTAAAACATATGCTGGATAAGTTGGCGATTCATTACGCTGTGGTGACCCCTGATTTAATAAAGGGACTAAGCTGAAAAGAAAACGAATTAATGAACGAAAAAATATTTTGGGAGATGTCTGCGAGAATGGGGGGCTATATCATATCAAGAACCACTGCATTAGTCTAGTTAAAATACTTAAAACAGGGGTGTCCACACTCAGTCCTGGAGGGCCGGTGTTCTGCAAAGTTTAGTTCCAACTCTAATCAGACAAAGCTGGGCTTGCTAATTGAGCTCTTACTAGGCTTTCTAGAAACATTCTTGCTGGTGTGTTGAGACAAGTTAAAATCTGCATGGACACTGGCCCTTGAGGCCCGAGTTTAGACACCCCTGGCTTAAAAGGATGGCTCAGTCAAAAGGTTTAACTTACTGACCCTCAAGTGGTTCCATACCTTTATAAGTTTCTTTTTTCTGTTGAACACAAAATAAGATAATTGGAAGAATGTCATAAACCTGTAACCATTGACTTAATAATAATAGGAAATACTAAGGAATTCAGTGGTTACAGGTTTCCAACATTTTTTCAGAGTAACTTTTTTGTGTTCAACAGAAAAAAGAAACTCAAACAGGTCTGAACGAGTGAGGCGTGAGTAAACGATGACCGAATCCTCAGTTTTGGGTGAACTTTCCCTTCAAGTGACTGTTTCTGGCTGTGCTTGACATCATGAATGTGTTTCCAGATTACCAGCGGCAGAAGGAGAGGACCGTCCACTAGGTGTCAGAGTAGACCTTCAGGAGCGCAGCAGTGCCGTGACGCAGCGATGAGGCGTTGGTGTGTCAGTGAGAAAGGCTCGTCTCCTCTGCATCATCTTCCTCCCACAAACTCTTTTCTCTGCCTAAAAGACTGCTCAAAGAAATCATCTTCAAACACTCCAGCACATGCCTTGATGATTCACATCTAGCGCTGGCTTTTCCAGATGCGTCTCCTGTTTATGTGTGCTTTCATCTGGGAAAACAAGCATATTCTTTGGGACATGAAGAGAAACACATGCTAGAAGTCTTATTTATTAAAAGAACTATATAGAAGTGTAGGGGTAAGGGAAATTCCTGAGTAATTTAGTTTATAAAATGACTGATGTTATAATGACTAATATATCTTGTATTCTTTAAAACCTTTTTCTTTTTTAAGTACATTTCAGTCGTGCATAAGCATTTTGATGTCCTGCTGGAAAACACATTGCTACTGACTAGTTAAATGTCATTCAATTGTGCACATACACTGTGTAGTTTATGTCCAAATGCCATTTATCCACATTTTTTCAAATAAATATGTAGGATCCCATGATGTTCTCTGATGGGTGAAACCTGGACTGAATCGCAGGATCTAGTCATAAAACATCTATTGGCAAATTTTGGGTGAATAAAAGAAATGTAGTGATGTAAAACTTACCTTATTGCAATATGGACTAGTGTCTGAATATTAAACCTCTCAAGGCTATTTTAAGTCTGCTTGTTTTGTGTGTCTTCACGAATGAATGAATAAGTTCTGTTTAAAACACAAACTCAAGCGCGTGTTGGTTTAGACACTCGTGGTGTTTCCAGGATCTGCAATCTCACTATAAGAACGTAAACACAAAGTTCATATGCAGAACTGCTTTGACAGTCACTTCATTTAAGAGTATTTTGCCATTTTAAGCTAGGAATAACTATTACACAAGAACTGAAACGTCTTCTCGGCATTCCGGCAAAATAAAAGTTCTGTGGACAGGATTATACTATTGTCCAGTAGAATATATTTCTAATATTAATAATAATAATAAACTACATTGAGATTATTTTCCCCATAAGCTAATAAATACTGTTTGTGGATTTAATTAAATGGACTGTTTTGTTACAAAATGTATTGCTTACATGTTTTGCATGCTCAGCATAACTGAGTACACCCCATTTTGAAAATAAATATTTTTATCTATTTCTCGGTGAATATAGGTCATATATTTTGGTGCATTTAAACAAAACAGATTTATTTAACAGATATATTTATTAAATAATATTTTAGCCAACAATTGTTTTTAGAATTGGAAAGATAATACATTTATATTCATGCTAAATATACATTTTTAAATTACAAACTACAAAATTTAACACCAACATTTTTATTTATTTTTTGCTCTTTTAAAAATGTCTTTAATATTTTTCCCTAACAAATACATTTGGTCTACTAATTTTTTAATCATCGTAAGTTATTTTGTTATATTAGCTCCAGATTTGGCTTTAGTACTGACTAAAGTATATGCACAAACATAATATTGTAAACATCCTATAGAAAATATATATTTTTATTGAGTCCAGAAAAAATAAACAAAAAAATTAATTTTGATTAAAAAAAAAAGAAAAAAAAATTAATTTCTACATATGGAAAAAGGTGTGTGGAAGGGTGTAAGAAGTAAATATTATAATCTCAGAAATGGCAACTTATGTTAGTGTTAGTTAAGTTAATCTACACTACTTGACAAAAGTCTTGTCGTCTATCCCAGTTGTAAGAGCAACAAATAATAACCTGACATCTAGTTGATCATTTGCAAAAGCGGCAGAAGGTAGATTTTTCTGATAAATCATCTGTTGAGCTGCATCCCAATCATCACAAATACTTCAGAAGACATATTGGTACCTCCATGGATCCAAGAATCTCATAGTAATCAGTCAAGTTTGGTGAAGGATGAATCATGGTTTGGGCTTACACTCAGTATGGTGATGTGCGAGAGATCTATAGAGTGGATGACAACATCAACAGCCTGAGGTATCAAGACATTTGTGCTGCCCATTACATTAAAAACCACAGGAGAGGGCAAATTCTTCAGCAGGATAGTGCTCCTTCTCATACTTCAGCCTCCACATCAAAGTTCCTGACAGCAAAAAAGGTCAAGGTGCTCCAAGATTGGCCATCACGGTCACCAGACATGAACGTTAGTGAGCATGGCTGGGGTAAGATGAAGGAGGAGGAGGCATTAAAGATGAATCCAAAGAATCTTGATTAACTCTGAGAGTCATGCAAGAACGTTTTCTTTGCCATTCCAGGTGACTTTATTAATGAATTACTTGAGTCATTTCAGAGATGTATGGATGCAGTCGTCCAAGCTCATGGGAGTCATGCACAATATTAATCTAGAGGCCTTTGCCTTTCATATAAGCCACTTCTGATACAAATCATCAACTAGAAGTCAAAGTATTATTTGTTGTTCCTAAAACTTATAGGCGACTAGACTTTTGTCACAGATTGGTGGACATGCAGACACTACGCTGGGTATTCTACAATGATTATGTAAACTAGTAATGCGCAGTGCACTAAATATACCTTCCAAAATCAATAAACAATCTTATTAAGAACAATGAATGAAACAAAAACCTTCAAAAGAACAATATAATTTATTTAAAATAGTGAATGTACAAAACCATATTACCCTTCAGTGAGTTAGGACTTCATACATATGAAATTCAAGTTCCCAAACTCAAATCTACACATCCATCCTTCCTCAGAATGAAAACATCTGTAATAAATACAGGCAACTTTGCAACCCGACTGTCCTGACAAATGCCTTTGCATGAATGCACTGCTGTCAAATTAAAGAGATAGTTCACCCACAAACTACCTCACCATTTACTTACATGGTTACAAACCGTTATGAATTTCTTTATGCTGTTGAACACAAAAGAAGATATCTTGCAGAATGCTGAAGACGGTATTCATTGAGTCAATGGTTACAGGATTCCATCTGTCTAAAAAGGACTTTTGTGTTCAACAAAAGAAAGTCAAACACCTGTAAAGGGCGAGGAAATTATAAAATTGTCAGTTTTGGCTGAACTACTCTAAAGACATAAGTGTAAAGCACAGGACAGCTCCATCAATCAGTTTCTTCACTATCCCTCTGCCTGTTACAGGCAACTGAACAAATACCACTTCAAGTAATAAATCCTGAGGTAATACTACTTCATGTTTTGGTCTGCTTCGCTCTTATTACAAGGCCACAAAACACAGGTTCTCTCATTGTTGCTTGGTGTCACTCATTATCACACGCACAAACACACACCTCATTTAAAAGACACACAGATATAAATATGCAAACAAAGAATGGCATTGCAGGAGAGCCTCTCCCAAAACACGGAGACTTAAAAGAAATATTAAACATGTTTGACTACTTACAAGCTACTCAACTGCCATTAACACCACTTAGGTGTGGCTTCATCAAACCATCTAATAATAAATTACAAAGCAAAAAGGTCATTCACGAAAATGAACCACCTTCAGAATAGTATTAAACTAAATTAGGAAGTAGAGCTGCATAGTGATTCCTCTTTTTCGAGCACCATTGATGGCGTAAGAACCTCTGGTGTGGATAATTGGATGTGCTGTGATTGTAAACATCTACTCTGCGAGCAGGAGGGAGGAATAGAAGTGTGGTGTGAGGTAACTGGACCAGAGCTACAAACCGTCTGCTCTTTTTTTTTCTTTTCTTCTCAGTTTGAAGTCATTTTTAGCTGCTGTCCTCGTTCTCTTGAGAGTCTCTGGTCGAGCTCTCATCCACGTTCTCGAGCGAGTCTCCGCGCTGGATGGACAGCTCTGCGGGGTCCATCATGGCCAGTTCGCTCTGGATGGGGTACAGCCATGGCTTATGATCTGGAGAGTTTGCTGCTTTCCAGGCAGGGTAGTTTTGTCCGGCTTTATGAGCGCTTCTCAACACCTGAGGAATGACAGAAGAGAATGAAGGAGTGGCACTGGTATCGCCGGAAGTGACACTGAACTTTGGCCGTTTTCTTCAGTCTTGTGTAACCCAAACAATGTGACAGAATCAAGTTTTACCTCATTTTCTAGAAGTGCAGTGACTCAAATTGCAGCAAGTCTTTTTTGTTCAAGTGTTACTATAAATAAGCAGCATTTCTGGATTCTGACTTGGCAACATCAAGTACAGTAAAAAATATCTGTTCATTTCTGTATTTTGTGATTCACATGTGTTTTCTGTTTATTTACGTTGTGAATTGTGTTATGAGATCTTGATCTCTGCTCTGTCAACTTTTGATGTTGAAAATTCATCTCTAAAGTTTAACACAGTGATTTTTATTGACATTTTAGTAGCTTAGTAATGTAATAGGGTTTCTGCAGGTCTCAAGTTAAGTTTAAGACATTTTTAGGACCGTTTTGATTAAACTTTTAAACTTCTACAGGGCTTAGCTCTAAGGATTTTTTAAAATATCCCAGTTAGAAAACATTTTAACTTGCCCTTTTAAAAATTATTAAAATTTAATATATTTAATAATAAAATAATAATAATTTACCCAGAGATGGGTTGCGGCTGGAAGGGCATCCGCTGCGTAAAAACTTGCTGGACAAGTTGGCAGTTTATTACGCTGTGGCGACCCCGGATTAATAAAGGGACTAAGCCGACAAGAAATGAATGAATGAATGAATGAATAATAATAATAATAATAATGAAATATATAGGTCAGATCAGTTTCCTCAGGAGTAAATAAATGTAGAACCTAAACATGTTACTGTAAGGAAAGTAACTAAATGCTATTTGCAAATAAAAAGTTAAGAGTTTTAAGATGGATTGTTGGTATTTTTTGGGCGTTAATGGTGAGATTGGATAGCTATACATGAACAAAGGAAAATTAAGACCCGTTTAAGACCTACAACACAATATTTCTGTAGATTTAGGACTTTTCTCTAAAATTGCTTTAGAGATTAAAGACATTAAGACCCTGCTGATACACTGATATATGAAATAAAATAAAGGGAAATGATTTACTGTAATGACAATACATCCATTTAAACTGCTAAAAATGTTAATAAAAGTCACTTTTTTTAAACTTTTCCATGAATCACAAAATACAGAAAGCTGCTCATTTACAGTGTATCACTTGTGCAATACTGACCATGAGACGGAATTTAATGTGAATGACCTGCCGTTTGGTTTAATATAGACAAAGTAGTTGATGAGTAATCATAAAACAATAAAAATCATCATTTTACTTTAAAAAGTAACATTGTAGCACCATGTAGAGATAAAGACATCCTGATTCGGTGTCCACATTAAATTCAATTTACAAAAGGACTTGCATACATTCCCAGAGACGTTTATATCGAAGTTGATATCATAAATATCTACATAAATAAATAATAAAACAAACTGCAATTTGTGAAGTGTGTAATGATCCAGACTTAGATTTTACCAGTACACATTTAAATAAATATATAAAATATCAAGTTAATAATATATATATATTCACGTAGCCTATAAGAGATGTCTTTTAAAGGAGGTTTTAAACCAGTTTTTGTCACCTGATCAATGATCAGCAGAAAAACAAACACCTCATTGTTATAATGGTGTACATCACGGCAAGTGTGATGTATAAACGACGTTATCAGTGTGCACTTTGAACAGAGATACTGTGAACACTGCAAACAGTCATACCATGAGCAGGAATAATCGAAAACGACAGAAAAAAAAGAACATTTCCAAAGTTCAAAATGCAATTGCTTCCTGTGTCAAGATTAGGCATGGGACGATAACTGGTTTCAAGGTTCACCGTAGTTTGGAAAAGTCATGCTTTAAAAACTGCTATAATTTCCTGTTATGTCACTTCTAAGGTATATGCAAGTTTATGTTTTTTGAACATATTTCAGAGCAGTAATCACACTACCGTGATATTTCTATTCAAGGTTATCATGTCGTCAGACTCTCATACCAGCCTATGCCTAGTCAGGATTGTGATGAACAAATGATTATTAAAGATCAGATGTGATTTAATATGAGTCCTAGTGACTTTCTTCTCTGTAAATGAAAAAAAAAAAAAACGGCTGTAGTCATGCTGCCTACCAGCAGAACAAGATAAACTAGTTTCACATTGGCACAGCTAGTGCTGCGTGAGCGTCTTCAGTACAAGATCTTCCAGCAGCTTTACCATGGCAACCACTGTGATTTCACAATCCTTAAACACACGCATCCTCACAGAGAACAGCCCCTGAATCATCACAAACACACAAACATGTCTACTTACTTTTGGAGCCAGGACCTGAGATGCTTTGTTGACAACCCACTTCGGAAGAGACCCTAAAAAAGAAGAAAAAAATCTTCAGACAACAATGCAAATGTCCGATGTAAATGAAAGAAGTGCTGAATGTTTTCATACCTTTAGGATCAGCTTGTGAGAGGTATGTGAAAGTGCAGCTTTGGGGCCCTGTTGGTTTGATCAGGTAACCGGTCATTAGGGAAACGGCCCTCACGAGATCCTTTCGTGGAGGATATTTCTTAAAATAACAATAAAAAACATGTGCTTATCAACTACCAATAAATCGGTTTAACTATGGTAGAAATGATCAAGTTCAAAACACATACATTGGTTTAGTTAGTTAGTTAGTACTTTATTTGTCCCCGTAGAGAAATTTCATGTCCAGGATACACTCACCGAGACTTCTGACATTTCACATTTTGCATATATATATATATATATTAATATATATTAACTGCTACTGAGGGAGGATGAATTTAAAACTTAATTGCTTGGGGTAAAAATGATAATTTTTTCCTATTTCTTACACATCTGGGAACACAATATCGACAACCTGATGGTAACAATTGGAATGTGTTTGATAAAGGATGTCTCTCATCATTGAGTATTTTTACATGGACACCAATAATCTGTTTTTAATATGATTAAGACAATACTCTGATTAAGAGTCCGCCATGTAAAAACCAATTTGATTAACTTAATCTGATTAAGGTCAACATTGAACTTAAGAAAAATCAAATTAAGACATGTGGAGTATGCCGATTTTAGACGTGTTATTGAAGTGCAGACATGTAAACACCTTATTCAAACTATTGGACTATTGGACAAGTAGGACTTTTTGCTGCGATTTGTGACAGTATATTCTATACACACAGGGCTGTTTGATACTATTCTCTGCACCTACTGAGTCAGTGAAGGACCACAGACACACACACTGCAAAATATTAGGTGTGCGATATGAAATTCCATTAAAACAACACTCTTCCAGCAGTTCATACTCGCATTCAATATCTTGTTTTTCACAGCAGGGATGCATGAAATGTTCGTGAATGAAAGTGCCAAACTGCAGTAAAAGTCGAAAAGGAAAAATGAAACACCCAAAATTACATGAAACTCCGAAGGAAACGTGGATAGCGTATTAACGCAATGACGTTAATCAAAATATGTGCTATAACATGTAAAACGGGATCATGAAAAGAACATTCAAAAAGCAACTCATGTAAACACCTTAATCATATTATTGTCTTATTCAGATTAAGGCAAATGATTCAATTATTGACGTCCATGTGAACGTAGTCATTGACAATTATGGCAGCCTAAATTAGTTCTCTTTCTTTGTATTTACCATCAATGCTCTTTAGTTTTATTGCCAACAACTTACTGGCTGTTGTTACCAACTTCTCAACAGATTACACAAAACGTGAAAATACTTTTAATAAAACTCATTTGAAAAGAGTTTTGAACTCAGTGTTGAAGGTAATGAGTCATTTAAATACCTCATTACTTCAACTTAAATGGAGTAAGCTCACTGCACTCATATAGATCAGTTTTTTAACTTGTTTGTAGCTATTGGTTTCCTCAAACGGTTTGAGTTGCCTTTACTTATTAGGTTTTACAGTACTCAGTTGGTTTGAGTTCTATTCATTTATCGGGTTTTACTGTGCTCGAATTGCTTCACTTATTCAAATGGATTAACTTCACAGTACTCATTAGGATTAGTTTTTGAACTTAAATGGGTTGTTGCAGCCGGTTTCCTCAAACGGTTTGAGTTACCTTAACTTTTTGGGTTTTACAGTGTACTCTGTTTAGTGTTAAACAAGCATTTTTCAAGCTTTAGCTGATATGCAAAAAATAATAAATTGATCAAAAATCTGGCAATAACATTGACAACAATAAAATGGTGCATCTCAAAATGACCAATCAAATTCTAATTAATGAAAATAAAATGTTTAAAATACTCAGTGTTAGAATATTTTTAAATTGACATAAGTTTTATGGGTTGAAATCTGTTTGAAAATCATTATTTTTCTCATTTTAAGTCCACAACCTATTTATGACTGTGCATAATGATAAAAGAAGGTGTAAGCAAATAAAAGACGTACCGGATGTTTCACTGAGAAGTTAATGATCACATACTCATTTTCAGACGCCTGCCATGAGCGCAGGGTCACCACATCTCTGTTTTTCAATGGTTTCGGACAAATCCCTGTGAATTAAGGAGAAAAATAAAGTCTTTTTACAGCCCGTAGGTCTATAAATAGCTTTTACTGCCTGGGAAAGAAAAAAAGAGGAACAAAGCTATCTTGGTGTTGACTATAAATACACACAAAAACATGCTCCCAGGAGCCTTATCTTCAGCCGTTACTGCAGTCACATTAGAAGAACAAGAGCTTGAGGACTATTCAAATAACCATCATGAAACATTATAGAATAACTCTCAAAATAAGGTTTCAAACTGCTACAGTTTCAACACTGAACACGTGACTCACATGAATAGTAGCCCACATCAGCATTGTGAGCCAGACGGGCGATGTCAAAACTCTCCAGCATGGTAGGGTCCCATGTTTTCCGGTATTGGCCGTCATGAAGAACATCATACATGGTGGCAGCAGATACATCCTTTATGTTTATTTGACACTGTATTGGAAACAAAGGCATTTGCATGTGTGTTGTTATGGCAGCAGTAGCTACACATGACATGTAAATAAACTGAAATTTAATATATGCGATGCAGAAAATAAAATATTTTGAGTAAAATCTACTTAATTGTTTATAATATATGTCTAACTCACTATAAGACTATGGTGTACTGTAGCTATGTCACTTCTACTACTAAAGTTTATTATTTTCTTCATCAATGACAATTATATTGATATGTATAAAGGCTGAAAATCTGTTTAAGGTACTCTTTAACAATATAAAATCCTACACACACACACACACACACACACACACACACACACATCATAAACAGTTTGATTAGACGTAGGCAAACATCTTACCCTGATTTTGTGCACTTTGCTGTAGTTTCCTTTGTTGTTAATAGAAGCAGATAAAGGGGCCTGCTCGACCCAAACCTCCATGTCATTTTTATCATACTTGTTGACCCAATTCTCCGTAGACAAGCATTGTCTTTTGAACTCAGCGAACATGGATTCATCTGGAAGGATTCCTGAACCGCGAGACATTCTGAAAAGACAATTTCACCAATGAAAATCACAGCGAAAGTACAAGATTCGTCTGAGGGATGTCGCTTGTGTCAAGACTCGATATCTCTGGTCTCTGTTCAGTATGAGCAGCGCTTATTGTAGTCGCAGTCAGATTAACATTTCAAGCTCGACAAGATTTTTTCGCAAATTCCTTACCTGGCGTCGACGTAAGCGCGTGGAAAAATCTCGTCACCGCTTCCGGAAGTAGGACAGGTGTATTCGTGTTACAAAACCAGCAGAGCGCAGCCAGCAGTACTGAACGACAGTGATTTTACACAATGACATTACGTTGATTTATACTCAAGAAAAACTGCAGACAAACTGCCACAAACCGGGTGTGTCGAAACGCCCATATTGATGGGTCATTCAGGTGTGGGTCCAGTGGTCTCACTGATTCGATTTACATGATTAATTCATAACTGAATCCCAACGAGCTGAGAACACCGCCCAGAGTTCACCCACCGAAACCCTTCAAAATAATCACCGAGAGGAAACTCATTGTGTCGGACAGACTGGATGGTACCAATGGCAGAGACACTGAATGGACGAAGCACTTTAAGTTAAAAACTGAGAATTACTTTGTTAGATAAGATGTATTAGGCCATCTGAGGAAAAAACAATAATGCCTGTCGTTAATATTTAATAATACGGCACATAGAGATACCCACCAATATGTCTTTTGTCTACTTAGTGTAACAACAATATATATATATATATATATATATATATATATATATATATATATATATATATATATATATATATATATATACCACAAATCTGGCCTATTTAAGTACAGTTTACACGCATACACACAATTCAATATCAGTTCCTTAAGAACATAAGAAGACTTTTTAAATAACCTTGATTTTCAATCACACAAAAATATTATTTTTAATCTTATTTTTGACCCCTTATTTTCTGGGAAAAACTGCAGTGATGTGTTTCATACCTAATAATCCATGAAATTGAAACAGATCACTCGAGTGTTCATGTAGTCCCTTAATTACATTTATTCAAACATAGTAAACTTTTAGCAACAATCTTGCATTTTAAATGAAAAAGGTGAATATATAGCTAAAATTAATCATTTACAAGAAGTTTGGATCTTCTTAGCAACAGGTTTTGATGAAAAGTGAATCAGAATGCAAATGTCACCCAATGCAAAATCAAGTTAATTCATTCATACATTTTTCTTCAGTATAGTCCCTTTATTCTTTAGGGGTCGCCACAGCGGAATGAACCACCAACTTATCCAGCATATGTTTTACACAGTGATGCGCTTTCAGCTGCAACCCCACACCGGGAAACACCCATACCCTCTTACACATACACTACAGAAAATGTTGTTTACCCAATTTACCCAATCACGTCTTTGGACTGTGGGGGATCCAGGAGCATCCGAAGTAAACCTAGGCGAACATGGAGAGAACATGCTAACTGCACACAGAAATGTCTAGAACCAGGGTCTAGAACCAGCGACATTCTTGCTGTGAGTCGATAGTTCTTCTCACTGCACCACCGTGCTGCCATTAATAATATATATTTTTTTTTTTATTATTCTGACCCCTTATTTTCTGGGAAAAACTGCTTAGTGACAACGTTTAAATTCACACCTAATATTACATCAAATTGAGAAACTTAGTGTTCATGAAGTCATCACACATAGTTATTCACACATAGTAAACATTTACCAACAATCTTGCATTTTAAAGGGAAAAAATGAATATATAGCCAAAACTAAACAGTAACAAGAAATTTGGATCTTCTTTATAACAACTTTAGATGAAAAGTTAATCAGTAATTTGTTCAAGAGCATATTTATAAAGTAAAAAAGCACATTTTAATCAGAGGCAAGTTTCATTGTATTATTAGTATGTAAAACTATAATGCGCGTCTCTCCTCTAATGCAAAATTGAGTGAGATATTACAATCAACAGGGGCGGACAATGATTTAGGGGGCCTTAAAACTTAAAACACTCTTCTTTCTCATTTGTTTTACCTCTAGATTCAGTTTTTTTATGAATAAATTGCATGTTAAATATAAATTTTAAGTGGAACCTTCTTAATTCATTCATTTTCTTTTCGGCTTAGTCCCTTTATTAACCAGGGGTCGCCACAGCGAAATGAACTGCAAACTTATCCAGCATGTTTTACACAGAGGATGCCCTTCCAACTTCAACCCATCACTGGGAAACACCCATACCCTACACTCTCATTCACACACATACACAACAGCCAATTCATATTATCCAATTTACCTGTACCACGTCTTTGGGCTTGTGGGGGAAACTTGAGCACCCGGAGGAAACCCATGCGAACACAGGGAGAACAGAACCTTCTGAGTTAAAAATTAAATACAATAAATTTGCAAATAAAAAGCAAGCTCACAAACTATGTACAGTTAATCAGCCATATTTGTGATTTGTGATTAAATTTTCATACAGTACAGAAGGAACGTTCTACTATTCATGGGGCCCCCTAGTTTAGAAAAGAATATAATTGAAATTGTAATAGTTATAGACAGATTTTACAACATCTAATAGAAAAATAAAATAAAATAGTTTAAGGATGATTAATATACGTAGGCTTCTTGGCATTGGTCGCAGCCCCCTAATTTCCCGGGGCCCTAAGCGGTTACCTCACAAATTGGTTAAATCCATCCCTGACAATCACTATGTATTTCATGAAATTGACTGCCAATGATTGTGTGATGTAATTACATAATAATACATGGAGAATCTTAATAATAAGGTGACACAGTGGGTAGCACTGTCGCCTCACAGCAAGAAGGTTGCTGGTTCGAGCCTTGGCTGGGTCGGTTGGCATTTCTGTGTGGAGTTTGAATGTTCTCCTTGTGTTCACAGAGGTTTCCTCTGGATGCTGTTTCCCTCAAAAGTCTGAAGACATGCACTATAGGTGAATTGGAAAAGCTAAATTGTGTACACGTGTGAATGAGAGTGTATGGGTGTGTCCATTGATGGGTTGCAGCTGGAAGAGCATCCACTGTGTAAAAAACATATGCTGGATAAGTTGGCGGTTCATTCCGATGTAGTGAATAAAGGTACTAAGCTGAAAAGTAAATGAATGAATGAATGTTAATAACATCCAACCCCACAGGAACCAAGACTAAGAGCAAAGCTTGGTGAAATATCTTTTATTCATGTGATACATTTGGTGTCTCTTTAACCTTCCATTTTTTACAGCATATAATAATAATAATAGTACTTTGTTCACACAAACTTTGCTAAACACTAGTAGACAGCGTATTTCAAACAGACCAACACACTTTAGAAGAGCACACAGCTGAGTATTCAGTCAGTGACGAGTGACAGAGCTGTTCAGGAGGGTTTTCACTCTTATGTCAATTCTTACATAATCAAACCATATTAAATGTTAACGTTTAAAACGCACCTGATGCCCTTGTTTTTCAGGATTTGCCGTCGAATGAGAGGAAAAGCGACAGTGCTGAGGGGTTTCCGCCAGCAAATAAAAGCCCACTCAAGCTATACTGAAGAAACCCAGCGTTACAGATGGGACTTGTGGCAAGAGGAGAGTGACATGAGCAGGTTTTTGCGATACAGTAGCCAGGCAGCAATGCAAATTACACATCAACCTTTGATTCCTGCACATTGCTGCCATTCCTGTCAAGCATACGACACACTTTCACTAACTAGTGAGATAATAAATAAACACATGAAACCAACAGTCTTACGACAAGCAATACTAAGACATGTCTGTACACCAAGCGATAGCCGTGTCGAAAGAGGAAATCGAAACATCCCAAACTCAAAAACTCGTTAGCTCTATGCAATGTTAACAGGCTGGAGCAAAGCACAGCGCTGCGGCCTGATCTGGTGCACTATGACAACAAAACAAGCAAGGCAATTTTGTGTTAAACCGTCTCTAAACTGCATGCTGCTCCTACACTCGCACAGCAAAAACAAGGCAGAAAATGATGAGTGGAATTAGTGTGAATTGCTGATGCTTTCCATATCCAAGCTCAGTTACCATAGTTTTGTTAGTACATACAGGGTTTGTTTTTACCATTAAAGTTTGTTTAAACCATTAGTTGTGGATAAGTCATTAAATATCTTAGGCTTTTAGTTTTGATGAAATAAAAATGTTTGCAAAGCAATTTTTCCCTTTTCTAAGAATGTTAAATCCAAAATCCCCCCCCCCTCACAACTCAATACATTCGACCTCCATGCAACCCTCCGAATATAAAATCAGCCTGTTCTCGAATGAGACCTCTCTTGTAAACAAAACTGCTCAATTATTGGCCGAACGTGAATCTATCTTGAAACAAAAAGACCTTTAACTGATAGCTGGTCCCTAATACCGCTTAAAACACACAAAAAAAACACCCAATTATACAGAATATTAATGATATGACCATTTCAAAATCAGATTAAATAACTTCTGCCAACAAAATAGTGTGTTTAAAAAACAAAACAACTTGGTAACAGAAGTTTACAGCCTCTCAACACAACAATCTCAACCTTTTCCTCCAGTGTAATTTCTTAAAAAGGCCCTTAAAAAAACAAGAGGACATCAGCCCGAGCTCTGAAACACTTCACAATGACTATGACAGCACTGATGTGTGAAAACTCAAGAGCATATGAGCTTATGTCAGTCTGCAGTCCCATTTAATGCCATGCAGCCAGAACAGATGAGAATCTGAATGGTTTTCGCATTTAATCTATGCTTTGATTTACGTTTTCCCCCCATTATTATACATGTTTTGGAATCCGTTTGAATTTAGAGTTGTAGCACATCCACACGGTTACTCTGAGAAGTCACTGAGTCGAAGAGAAAGAAAGGGTTCTTGGCTCGTGACATGGGGCCGTGAGAGGAGTGAGTGACCACTGAGAGGCAAGCTGTGTGTGTGTGTGTGAGAGGGGGTTGAGTGGGAGGGGGGGCGTAGGGCCTGCCGGGGGACGAGGGTGGTTTACTAGCACGAGCAGCTGCTTTCGGTAACGGGCAACTCCGGCGGCTTCTCCAGTTTGATGTCGATCACTGTGGGTTTAGATTAAGGATGGTAAGTGGGTAAGAACTGGGTGATGTTAATAAACATGTCTGGAAAGGGATAGTTCACCCTGAAATTAAACTCTGTCATC